AATGGCTGAACAAGGCTTAGGTGAAGGGAGAAGTTAGTAGCCTATCTGCATTGCTACACATATCATACTATGGGAATCTGTCAGCAAAACAGCCCTAGCAGCTGCTGTTGGGCTAATAGAGAGGGCTTTGGTTGCTTATAGATACTATGAAAGCAGACTGCCAATTAACAGGATTACTGCTGAGGACCATCAGATGTTAACCTTATAAAACAACACTCCAAAATATGCCTTTCATGTTACACTTCTAAGCTTAGAATGTTGAAGCTAATTGCTTCCTCCCAGACCTGCTGAGTTTGAGAAAAGATGCTTTTATCAGGCACACCATACCATAAATACTACACATATTTTTAAAGCATTGTTTTCTTCTCTTATTATAAAAATATCCCCTGCTTAGCCATGTCTAATTTAGTGACGTTAAGTAAAAACAATTATCATTCAGTTGTGCTTATTACAAAGTACTTTAATTTAATTAAGGTTTTTTGGCGATATGATTTAGTAAATTAATTACTCAAAAATGTAAGAAAGTATTAGTAAGAAAACCATTAAATGCCATTAATAAGTCAATACATTACTCAGGAAATGAACTCAGCTTTTATTACTAGAAATTCCCATCAATTACTAAATATTGCTGTACCAATTACTGTACTTGTGGAATGGCCAAATTATTGGGCGACTGTTAATAATGTCAGTTACAAATTACTATGGTGGAAAAGTGGTTAGTAAATTCTTTGCTCTGGGTTCACATATTAGTGGGTAACTTGTCAGAAAAATGGTAATTTCTTTTAAAAGAAATATGAAGTTAAGTAAGGTAATACCTTTCACTGGGCCAGTGCCTGGCCCAGAGAAAGAAAACTTAAATCTTTTTAAGAAAAGCAAAAGCAAATGGTCAGTGAATTAACTCTCTCTCTCTCTCTCTCTCTCTCGCTTTAATTTACTGACCATTTGCTTTATATATATTTCAACCCTCACAGTGTGCCTCCCATCTTATTTTAAAAGTTTCAAAATTAATAGAAGAACTGGAGGACATTCTTCATTAGTCCCGTCCTCCACAGGGAAAGCTGTGCTGTATAATGGTTCCTTCCACAACTGGAAAGGGCCATTCTATTTAGCGGGGTAGAGGAAAAGCCAAATTATACATCTGACATTGCACTGGCAATTCCAAATACCACAAACACTGTCATCCAAGTGGGATCAGGGGAGAGGCTTCCCCTGAATTTTAGGGGCAGGTCTCCCTTACCTTACTGTTTCGACCAGACCTGCCCCTGCCAAATGGTGGTTTTAATATATATGTTTAGTCCTTCAATGATAAGAAAAGAAACTATACTTTGTAGAAAAGCAGTGTTGGTTTTCAACCAATTTCAGTGGACTGATGATCAGATGTACAAACAGGTCTATGGTCCTGACAATATCTTTTGGGGCAGAAGGACAGCTCACACATATGTACACACCCATTCTCCCCCATGTCTGAGAAGTAGTATTCTGAGAAGAGTGTAAAAATGTACACATTCAAGGACTGCTGTCAAGATTGCTCTTTATAGGGTCTTCTTGTAGGTCATTTTTGGAGTTTGGCTCAGGTACAGAAAAACTGTAGCCCTTCCAATGTTGCTTATTTCATATCTCTAATCACCCACATCCACTGGTCAAACTGACTGCTGCTTATGGGTGATACAGTTCAACAGTTCTCTCGAGGACCACATGTTCTTCATCTCTTCCCTACATCCTATATCCTTAACTGGAAGTGGGAGGATTGTAATGAGAGAAATCAGCCAACTGGATTCTCAGATCATCAAGATCAATCCAAGCAAGGATGGCAGGCATGACAGAGATCCAATTTCAAAAACAAACATTCACTCTAAAATGTTGAGTGAGAGAGAAATTACTCATCCTAAAACAAATCAAGGGACCAAGTCCAATGAAGCAACTGTGAGTGGTAGAATATACCGCCCAGAAGTGGTAGAATATACCAGATGGGCGGGGTATAAATCAATCAAACAAACAAACAAACAAACAAACAAACAAACAAACAAACAAATAAAATAAATAAATAAATAAATATTGGCACACGCATACGTTGTGTGTGCACATGACACAATAGTTCTGGGGAGTGCCTTCTTGTCCACTCACAAGCCATCACTGGGAGTAATACAATGGTTACAGGAACCAAGAGCTTCTTCTTTAGATTTTGCTCACAACTATCACGGAAACCCTTTCAACATGGTGGAGGTAGGGCTGTCAGATCAACAGCATTCTATTCCCCAAGATTCCAGGAAGAAAACTAGATAGCAGAAACATGGCACTTCTGATGTCATTGTGGTAAGCTTTTGTGATGTCATGAGAACAGGCCAGACAAGGATTGGGAGTGGTATTAGAACTGGTTCTGTGTCAGTTGGTTTTTAGAATAGGCACTAGGGGAAGTCTGGATAAACAGGTTTAGCATCTGGCTAATACCTAGCTATCTAGGTAATATGGGCAACCCAAAACAAGGAGGGGAACGGGCAACAAAATTCCTGCTAGAGCTTTTCATGTTACCTACAATGCAATGACAACAATAATACTGGAAATTCAGAAATACCAGTACAAAAGTTCAGATGAAGGTATAATTTATAAATAATATGATCAGCAAAGGTAGGCTGAACCTTGACCTTTTAGTACTAAGCAATTTGTCAGATAAGGATGAACAAAGGATTATGTGCAAGAATTAAAGAAATCTTATAGGAACAAAGGACTATTTATACTTATGTTAGGAGGAAAAGTTCTAGAGAAAATCAAAACTCGTTCACCACCAGTACCTAAGGATGAAGTAGTAAACACCCTACTTAAAAAGGGAGGAAAAGCAAAGCTTATGTTAAAGAAACAACAATATGGCCTTTACATAGCCTTTCCTAAGAAGGCTCCACAAACTAGTAACATCTATCCTAGAAATAAACTTCTCATTTTACCACAAAACATTGACAGCTATATCTTTAATGTGGCTCTTAACTATTGTAGTCATGTATTTGAGTTTTGCACCACAAATGTAATCACATAGCCAGGTCTACACTTGATCTTAGCCAAAAGGCTGAGAAGCAGTTTCTGGCTGGCTGGCTGGCTCCAGGATAACATAGTCAGGTCTCCGTTTTAAGGAACTACCACAATTGTCTTATCTCATCTCTAGGTTTGAATCACCTGCTGTTTCTAAACTAGCAGTGTTCCAAAGCAGCAGAGGTGCCTCTTTTATGAAACTGAGATTGCTTACAGATGAGATTTTTATCTCCAGTCCAATCATGCTGCCTCCTTCATGGAAGTTTATAGAATGATCCCACAATGATGCAATTTGCACCCCTGCTGTAATTTCCCACTGCATCTTCCATGTTTGTTTCCACCTAGGAAACATCATTTAGGAAAGTTGAACAATGCCTTTAAACTGTGAACGGTATGAGTGATTTGTCTGGAAGCACCCTTAGTTTAAACATGGCTGCCCTAGCCAAAATTGAGATGAAACTGAAAGATATAGAGCTCAAATTCCACAGGCCAACTTCTCCAGGCTGGACACTGTTAGAATCTTTTAGTTTAGCTATTTAAGCATCAGATACCTAGTGTGGTATAGTGGAATGAGTGATGGACCAGAACTAAAGAGGCCTGGGTTCAAATCCCTGTTCAGCAATGGAAATTTAGCGGGAGTGTGAAACTGGTAAAACCACTACTTAAATATCTCACTTACTGCAGTTACTATAAATTGGTTCTGACCTGACAGTATATACCGACAATAACATTTAAGTATCACTCATTTGAAGATATTCAGACACAATTTCCTCAAATTAAAAAAAAAGAAAAAGCAAAGAAACTAGTATCATCATTCTGACCCATCCATAGTTTATCCATTTGAGCAGGGGTAGGGGGGCGAGACTGGAGCAAAAATAGCTTTGTTCTTACACTGGTTCCACACACAGGAAAAGAAATGGGAAACAGTCTCTAACAGTCAGGGTTGCACTTCAGTGCTCTCAAGATTATATACAAAGGTTGTGATACAATGGAAACCTAGATCTCCCTCAATTCGTGAATCAATACAAGTGATATATTTCTCTGACACACACAGTCATTCAGTGAAATAAGAAGAATGTCTTGGTAACAAATACAAAAAGCTTAACTATTGCAAATCCTGAATTTACAGGCCACCGCTCAGTTACTATTTTTCTGGAGTTTCAAAACATTCTGTCCATTTGTTTCTTTTTTTGTTGTTTCGATTTTACCCCTGCACTTTGTACCAGTTTGTTCTTGCCCATATTCACCACTGAAATTTGCCTTTTCAAGATGATGTCCTGACAGGAGGTCAGAAGAATCTGGTACAAGGCGACTTATTCTTTCATGACGGTGCTGTGGGGTTAATATTTCAGATCCTCAAAATGTGAACAAGAATGCTTCAAAAGCAGAAAGGATACAGATGGCAGCTATGTATTTAAACAGATCACTGAGTTGTACCTCGCAAGAAAGGACTTCTGGAAAAGGGTGACACATTTTGAGGTGCTTAAAAGCCTATTTTCAAAGCAAGATGGAGGAATTGGGGGGGGGGAAGGCACCAAAAGAAAATGGGATAAATATCAGGAACCTACTGGAACAGACAAAAACAGTGGCATATCGTTATCCACAGATTTGAAATCTATAGAAAGGGCAGGAAAATATGTATCATTTATTGATCCTTACTACATCTGTCTTGCTTTTCTATAGTGAAGTGTATTAAAGGCAGCTGATAATAAAATCACAGGAGTCCCAAAATACGAGATGTAAAAACTACCAATAAAATAGTGCCCAAAGCAGCAGCATTTTGCTATTAGCTGATTACATATCTATTTTACAAAAGAGGACTGGTGGACCAGGATGAAAACATGGGCTAAGGGAAAATCTCTAGCACTTCTCTAGCTAGAAACAGAAATGCCAAATAATAGCTATTGTTCTCATGAACTCCAGTCACTGGAATACATTTGAATAGGGTGATGGGGTGGGGGGGGATGTATCCGTTTTACCTGTTGTGCAGTTCTTCATCGCAAAGGAATCAATGGCAGCTACACTTCTGTTCCCACGAGCGATATATTCCAAGGAGATCCGAAAAGGTTTCTCAAGGTGTCCAACTCTTTCCTGGAGCAGCACCCATCTGTTCTCATTGCACAGCAAGAAGAAAGAACACAGGACAAGCATGGTGAGGAAAACAGCTAGCTTGCAAGAGGCACAGATCCAGAAGCGACCAGCCCACACCTGCCCCATTACACTGGCACTCTAGGCTGTTTTTCTACTGGCTTTTCCTTGCACCAGTACTTTATTTGTTGTTGTTGTTTTAAAGAAGAATAGAAACAGAAAAAAAACTTCCAGAGAGCAGAGATGTTACAAGGAATGGCTACCTCACCACGCTAATGACACTTTTATCACTCTGATCTATCACAGGTCTGCGCTTACTGATCTCTCACAGATATCTTTGTGTGATTTGAAAACAGCACAACTTTTTATGTGTGTTTCTACCCTGCACACAGAGCTGTGTAATATGTAACAGACAGGGATGTTTTAAATACCACCCCCTCACCCTCCAGCCCATCTGAATCTGTTATTCAGATTTACAGTGATAAGTTTCTCTCAAGGGGTTAGTTGCATAGCTGCAATTCCCAGCCTTACATCTCTGAAACATTCTGTTTCATTTGGGGAAGCAGCATCTCCTTCTCAACTCTGTTAGGAGGTTTAACATTAAAATAGCCCATTTCCTTGTTTTACTTTTATGTTGATTGTTGTTGGTGTGTGTTTTTTTTTAAAGAAAACTCTGGAATAAGGGGACTGGATACTTAAGAGCTAAGAGATAATAATAATGTATGTTATGTTCCCCAATGAGTAACAGAAATTGCATAAATTACTTAAGAACAACAGAAATGTTGTCTGAGTCATAGATAAGTAAAAGCAGTACCCAAAATTGCAAAAATTATTTTAAATCATTCCACATGTTCAGCTGTCCAAGTGTAGTTTCTAAGGAAATTATTCACCATTATCACTATACTTAAAAAAACAACAACTGTGGAACGTAGAAATTCATATTTTAATTCATTATTATTGCTGGGGACTTGTTTGGAAGTGGAAACTTACAGAGTTCTTTTGTTCCACCTATCCGAACCCATCTCCACCCCATTCTTGGGTTCTTTAATTGTCTACACAGATTGTTCTGGGCCACTGAGTAGAGAAAAGAAAATATGTTTGTTGGGCTAGTGCTGAGCAGACCTGAGGCCACCTAAAAATCTACATTACAAAATTATAGCACACAATTCATAGGAAGGAAAAAAGGCCACAATTTTTTTGGTTGCAGCAACAGTCCCTAGGCCAACACTGGGGAATTGGATCTGTTTAATTGAGAGACCCAAATTCCCCTCTACACCTACCACCAACCTCCTCAGCAGATGCTGAAGGTGACAGTCCTCTGAAGGCTACAAAGGAATATGCTACCTGAGAGTAAGGCTGGGCCAATGGGCTCCTGAACAAGGCCAGGCCATGGCCCCTGCCTCAAGTGTCCTTAAGGAGATTCCCTTAACAAACACGGTGAGCAAATTCCTTCTGGTTGCCCTCATGCCACCTGGATCCAACTCCAGTGCCCCAAAGTGCCAAACAACAAGACATATAATACCTGCAACAATTGATTGATAACCTGAATCCCTGCCACCAACTTTAATTTGTATTACCAAACCACTATCAAAAACATAACGCCCATAATAACCACTCAAAAACAAGTCCTCGAGTACTAAAGCACAAATAATTGTGCCACTATAATAACCACCAAAAAGCAAGGGAGGAAAAAAGGGGGAAAACAGTGGCAAACTGACTGGAGCAACTTCCTTGGCTCCTATCATATGTTGGTCAGGTGGACCAGAATGAAGCTTCTGACAGCTAATGGGAAGCTGGGAGTGAGGGCGGAATCACCCACCACTGCCCTGTCAGCATCCAAAACATTCAGCATAGCTGCCACCATGACAGCTCGAGCCCTCTCCACTGCTTGCCACAGCCCTCGGACTGCCACTCTGGCCTCAACAGGATGATCCCAGGTGAGTCTGGGACCCTGTTTTCTAGTTTCGTCTACTGCAATTGGTTGTCAGGACACATGCAAAAGAAGAGCTTTCTAAAGAGCCTTGTTAGAAATATTTTCTGAGCAATTTCAGCTGTAATTTTTTTAAAGAATAAACAAGAACACATTGTGCTTCTATGACTTGCTTTCAGACAGCATTATTAGACATGTATATAAGAATGGTTCAATAGCTTTAAATAAATCTAAAAGGCCAGTAGTAAAATATTTTTCAGAGAATAAGTATGTTTTACAGCCGTTATCTGAAGCTAACAACATTCTACATTTAAATGAACCACCTTCACTTCCATATTCCAGACATTTTTCTTTGTGGTTTCATAATCCTGTTATATGATTACTGGAGGAGGTCATTCAGTTATCTCACTTGATTAACCTGCCTGTCTCCATTTGTGGCTACTGGCTCCATACAGTGAGAAAGTTTCTTTCATCAGAATATTTACACATGCAAGAGATAGAGTCAATAAAAGTATTGGTCTTCCACTAGGATGATTATGACTTAATTTCTGCTTAGGACAGCTCAGTGCCTTCCATTCTGACCTATGTCACAATGTTGCTGTGAGAAGAGAATAATATTTTATAAAATCTGAATTTATATTGCCTTGAAATCTTCCGGTGGAAGAGTATACACATAAAAACCAACCAATTTCTGAGATATGCTCAGACAACACTTGGCAGCTAGAATGGTATAGCCAATTATCATTCTCTAGAGAGCAGATCATCCAACAATAGAAAGCTATGTCTGTAAGGATAAAGGGAAATGTCTGTAAGTTAGTTAGGAGGCAGTATTTAACTCTGTAAAATTAAATCAAATAAATATTAATTATTCCAAGTTGTGTTGGAGAGAATGTCAGAAAGTAGGTACTTATTTTTATATGTGGTAGAATGCAAGAATATATTGAAATTTTGCAATTGGTCTTTAAGGATATAAACAAAGTAACTAAGGTAAATTTAGAAGTGCTGTTTTGTCCTAAAATAGCACTTTTATCAAATGTATAGGAAGCAACATAACTGACTAACTAAAGAATTAATTTCCAGTTTATTAAAAGTGGCAATATTAATTGTACCTAGGAACAGGAAAAGGATGTATCACTATCATTTAAGCAAATTGTATAGATAAGTTTGGGATAAAGATATTAATAATAAGTTAACATGTAATATTAAACTTAAGAAGAGGTTGATAAGGATATATTTATAGATGTATGGGGAGAATCCATTGATTATGTATTAATAAAGGGGAAGAGACATACACCTTTGCAAGGGGAATGGGGCTCCAGGGGGCGGGGGGAATGACTGTAACTTCCAGATGGTCCTGGTGTCTCTCTCTGTATGCGTGTTTGTGTGAGAGAGTAGATCTTTTTATTATGTGTTTTAATATGTTCCATGTTTATATGATTTTTTAAAAAAAATTACAAAAGCACAGGTAATTGTTTCTTGCACAGAGATTGTCCTGTGCAGAGATACAGGGATGGCAGAGGATGGTGTATTTCATCTTTAGATGATGAACAAGTAAATGGGCTTTCACGGGTGACCTTGGCAGAACGTGTAAAGGTGTTATCAAAATACACATGGGGACACATTTAACATCTAAGTTTAAAACAGGGTCTAGTTTCTTTTTTTGCACCCACGTTGTATGGCTTATTAAAAGCCAGTCGCTGTAAGTCTGGAGGGCTGTCTGTAAGCAAGCAAAAGCCTGCCATCCCAAAAGCTTGGGAGAGGGAAGCAGTGGCCTTCAGAATCTGTTGTAGGTCTTTGATGTTATGTACCACTGGTTTCAGTTGATAACTGTAGGTGATAGCCAATTATAATTTGTCATTTTCTGTTTTGAGTATGACTCGTAGTAGCTTGTTCCTGGAGACCAATCTCTCATCAAATTGCTTTTTCACCTAATTAAGTAGGCATTGTTGCTTCAGAACGGCCAGTTCTCAATCCATGACTTTTTATCTTGTTAATCTGAGAAGATGTGGTTATATCGAAGGGCTTGGCTGTAGACAATGGATTGTGTGGTGTGTTCTGCTTGGAACCTGGAGGTTTGTGTGTGTGTGTGTGTGTGTGTGTGTGTGTGTGTGTGTGTGTGTGTGTGAGAGAGAGAGAGAGAGAGAGAGAGAGAGATTCAGTGACTAATGAACATCTCTCTCTCTCTCTCTCTCTGCACAAATGTCTATTGTGCAGTTGTTCTGTGGTGTACATAAAATGCATCTCTCATTGAAGACTGGATGAAAGTTATCAAAGTACTTATGGAATTTTTCAAGTGATTCCTCTTTGTGAGTCCATGCGATGAAGATGTCATTAATATACCTCAGATACAGGCCAGGCTTTAGGGTATAGGAATTAAGGCAACATTTTGCCAGGTTATCCATAAATTCATATAGTAGGGTGCCAAACATATGTCCAGAGCCATGCCATTGATCTAGGCATTAGCAAAGTTGAAGTAGCTATGAAGTCAGAGTTCTGTGGCTAAATCTTTCAGAAATGTCTTTGGAAACATTCGGGGGGTGGGGAGGAAGGCCAGCCATTTTATAATCTTGGTGCATGTGGCTTTATCTGTAAAAGCTGGGTTTTTTTAAAAAATATTATTACCATACTGCTTCTTTTACCACATACACTGTTTTGGGAAAGTTTCACCAGAAAAGATAGCCTAGAAATCGTCGTCGTCGTTTAGTCCTTTAGTCGTGTCCGACTCTTCGTGACCCCATGGACCAGAGCATGCCAGCCTCCTATCTTCTATTGCCACCCGGAGTTGTGTCAAATTCATGTTGGTTGCTTCGCAGACACTGTCCAGCCATCTCATCCTCGGTCGTCCCCTTCTCCTCTTGCCATCACACTTTCCCAACATCAGGGTCTTTTCCAGGGAGTCTTTTCTTCTCATTAGATGGCTAAAGTACTGGAGCCTCAGCTTCAGGATCTGTCCTTCCAGTGAGCACTCGGGGTTGATTTCGTTTAGAATGGATAGGTTTATTCTCCTTGCAGTCCACGGGATTCTCAAGAGCCTCCTCCAGCACCACAATTCAAAGGCATCAATTCTTCGGCAGTCTGCTTTCTTTATG